CTGCCTTTGTAATGGCTTGTTAATTATGTGATTGTTCCAGTGGTTCTTGCCTGTCTCATCCTCGTTTAAAAATCTGGCTGATGGTGCTTGCTACCATTTCCCATGGGATGTGGTGAGGAAAGGATTATGGTTTCCTGGGAAAAGCTGTAACTGTTTTCAGACTTAAAACTGATCATCTACAAACATGTTGGTCCTTCCCTGAGCAGTCTGTGGGGCTGCTTGGTAAAACAGGGGAATATAACAGTAAATCTTGGTGATTCTTGCTTGGTGCTTTCCCTTCCCACGGCTCAGAAATGGACACACGTCACTACTTTTGTTCCCTTAATAAGGAAACCAAAAATTGCAGAGGTGGAGTTGTCAGAAATACTGAAGTGTCACTGAAGTTCACTTGGATCTGGTTACTCTTTCCCCTTCCTCTCCCAGAGGTTGTTGTCTAAGGTCAGGGAGCAGCTTAGTAGCAGATTTGGGGATAAAATCCAAATTTCTGCCATGCCCCCTATTCCACTCCATCCTTCTACAGCTGTGATTAGCTGGCTGGGGAAAGATGATGTTTGCCATGTCACTGAGGGGTTATAAATGGAATAAACTCAGTGAATGAGCTCAGGGGGAACCTACAGGCCTGTGTAAGAGTGAACTTCCAGAAATACCCAACAAAACAACCCACAACCAAACAAAAAACAGCAGCAGATGTGCTTGATGATGACAGAATCAGAAGGAGGGGGAGACACCACATCACCAGGGGAGCTCAGTGTTAGACAAGATGCAGCCCTGCAGTTGGTGGTGAGGGCCCGTTTGAGCACAGGCACTGCAGCAGGACCCGTGGGTGTGCTTGTGACCCTGGTCTCAGTAAGGGGATGAATCTGAAATAAAACATGAATCCTTCCTTCTTTTTGGAAAGATCTGGTTTACTCTTTTTTTTTTTCTTTAATTTTTAAATCCATATTCCATCAGGCATAGGGAATCCGTGAGGGCCACTAAGGAAACACTGGAACAGAGAGGCAGCTGCTCCATCATATGTGCTCAGAGTCGGGAACATTTGGATGTATTAAATCTCCATAACTATTCTGCTATTTACTGTAGTTTCTTCCAGGGGAAAAGAAGAGTACAGGGAATGTAGAGGAAGGAGAAGGTTTAGGTGGCATGTGCTGTACCTCCAGAGAGATTACTAGATGTGTTCTGCTCTCCCTCGCTCTACAAACCTTGTGGAAAAAATGCCAGCACAGTTTGTAAGCCCACAGGATGTTTGTTTTGTAGGGAGACAGGAGGTCTCCTCCTTCCCTCGGGACTGCCTCGCCGTCAGCTATGGAGGAGCCGAGTGTAATTCTGTGCTCCTGCCTTTTTTCCCAACCTTTCCCTTACACTGGGAAGGAAATTTGCTTGCGTTGATCTAGAATTATTCATATCTGAGAGCTTCTTACACAGCCCCTAACAATGATTCATGGCTTTGTATAAACAGCGATGAGCAGGAGATGGTTACCCTTACGAAACCTTTTACTGTGCAAGCGTAAATATCTCCTGGTAAAAAACTTAATTTAGGAGGGAAATTATGACATTCTTACGGCTAGTGCCTCAAAACATAAACTGCTGTTGCCTCACTTCAAAGTCTTCACCACTTTAATTAAGAGTCATCATTTAGTTGGTGTTAGTGGAGTACTGAATTACAGTGCTGCCTCAGAACTCCTACCAGGAATCCAGGTGTTATCCAGAGCGCTGTATGATCAGAGTAATAAATGACAGTCTTGCTGGGATGCAGCACAAGACAAAGTGGATGCACGGAAGGAACGACAGCGCAGCGATAACAGATTGAATTACGCTCGCTTCCTGCCCCATCGCCGTGCCAGGATGGCCTCCCGTAGATGTAGCAGCCAGGCTGATTTATTAGGAGGAATCTGGCCCACTGAAGAGCTCAGAAGTGCTGTAAAATTGTAGTTAAAACCAGCAGTAGGAGGTGAGGAAGCTGTTGGAAGAGACCCTCAATACGTATGAACAGCAATGTCTAATTCCTGCTCTGAAGGACTGGAATGTCTGGGCAAATTTAGTGGAGGATCGCTCGCAGGGATAAACGCTGCTGACAGCCGGCTGTACGTGGCTCCCAGATGGACATGTCCTGTCTGCTTCTCTCGCTTCATGGGTTTGTGTCCTCAGTGTGCTGACAGCCTCCTCTTGGGGCCCAGCCCTTTAAAAGTGTGTTTTGTCACGGTCTATCAAGCTTCTGCTACACTCGGGTCACCAAAACTCTGCTCTTTCCTTTGTGCTCTTCTCCGTGTTGACTCAGGGCCTCGTCCTCCCTTTCTGGCCACCCATCCTCTCGTTCATCGCCTTCCCCACCCCAGGTCTTAACCTGGGGGGTTCTACCCTCTGGAAACACCAGCTCCACCCAAACCAGGAGTTGGGTCTGGCATCTCCCCATCCTGCTGCCCTGCACAGCAGGGTTCGTGCTCAGCACGTACCCACGTCGGGGTGCTGGTGGCTGCTGCACAGTGAGGTCAGACTGGGGGATTCAGAGCATATGGGCATCCTGGGCCACTGGTGTGGTGTGCTTTTCCAGCTTCGCAGATTCTCGTGTGTGTACTTAACAGCCCTTGCTCTTGTTGGTCCTTGGGTTTGCAGACATTATCACTGAGTCAGTGTGTGTAGGAATGTCATCGAACAAAACCTGCCTTCCCTCGCTCTGGCGCTGCAGCCCGTGGGCGTTGTTGGCGCTTGGCACAGCGTCTCACGGATGAATCGAAGCTCATACCTTGGCATCCGTGTGCAGTGAGTCAGTCCCAGCATCCCTGGGCACGAGGGAGGGATTCTTGCGAAGCGCTTGGCTTTGCTCCCACATCCCCATCCGTGGTTGCGCATGATCCATCCTTCACTGGGCTGCGATCACGCTGGAGTTGGAGGGGAGCCTGCCTTGGATTTCCTGCCTTCCTGTCGAATCCATGCCCCGTGTGGGAGGCATTTTCCTTCCTAGCAGAGGTTATGGTCCATCCCACGGAGCGGCACGTGCTGGTTTGTACCGTGTTTGGGGGAGAGCATCACGGCGTGGCTCCTCGCTGAGGTTGTGTATGTGCTGCTTGCAGCTCTGCTGTCTGTCCGTTCCAGGTGTTTACTGATGGTGTAACATCTTGGAGTATCTCCAGTCACTGCAGCACCCTGTGTTTGATAAGGGAGCTTAATGGGCTTGACAGGATCAAAGCATTTTCATGGTAAAATGATTATAGCTTATTCTGAAAGTGGATTTCCTCCTTCTTTATTCATTGTCCCTCTTCAAACAAACTCAGGCTACTAAAATATATTCTCCTGCAGGACACACAGGAAGGGGAGGCAAGGATGTCAACGTGCTCTAAAAAAAGCCACCCAACACATTTCTCACTGTTAAAGTGGAATTATTTCACTTTCAAAAATATATCTCTCTGCAGATACGGTTTAGCTGGGAAAACAGACCCAGCAGTGTCTATGTTTGCCGATTTGTTCACGTATAGGATAATGTGTTTTTCCAAAGAATACAGTAGTACTTGTGTACATAAATAACCACCCAGAGAGCCTTTTCCAGTGGTGACCTGACCAACACATGGAGGACGCCAGATTGTCTGTGGGTGAATAGTGGCACTTATACCACCAAAGCTTAGAAAATATTGTGTATTGTTAGTGTTTGCAGGGTTGGGAGCTTGTTTTTGTCAGCATTTCTCCACTGGGGAATGTATTTTGGACCTGTCCCAATCCACACTTGACTTGCATACGCTTTCTGGTGTCAGTTGTATCGGTTCTTAAATCTACAAATGTAAAGAGTGAGCTGTGCTCCCAGGTGGCCTGATAATGTAGGAACCATTTGGCCGGGTATTTCTCCCTGCAAAGCCCTGCTGTGTTTGCCTGTGCAGAGGAGGGATTCAGCAGGTGGGGGCTGTTGCTGTGTAATGAAGAGCAGTCTCGTGGCGCAAGGGGCTGATGTGACAGTGCCGTGTTTCCTGTCCCCAGAGCTGCACTGACGCACTGCTTTGTGTGCAGTGCTTGTGACCTTGCTCAAAAAACTCACCCAGATGGAAAATGACCCTTCAGAAAACAAGAGTTTCACAACCTATTGTCCTGGTCTTGTGCCAGCACAGTCACACATGGGGCTGCCAGAATATCTGGGGATGGCACGTTAGAGTGAGGGGGCACAACTACCTGGACCATCACTGCCCCAAACTCTTCTCTCATGGCCCAGAGGGGGGGTTAGCAGGAGCAACTGCAATAAAATTCCTTGTCGGGCTTGGACTTGCCTGATCATCACAGAATATTATTTGCCCAGTGTGTTGCAGTGTACAAAAAACTTTGCGAGTTGGTTTTTACTCACTTGTGTATCTCAATTTCTAGGAATCTCTTTCTCTGGAGTTATCTCAGGGTTCCTAAAAATGTAGACAGCTCATTGTGCATAGTGTCCTCGCTGCTGTGCTCTGGTTTTAAGAGGGGGCTACAAAAAAAGGCATTGCCTTGTCCTCAAATAAGAAGAAAATGGTTAAAAATTCTGTGAAGAACAGAAATACCTAACTCCCTAAATACCATGTCTTATAAATCTCACCCTGCCTGGCTCTCTGTGCTGCACATTCTGGCCATTTCATTTATAGGATAATTAAGGGATTTACCTTTTAAAGGTCTTGGGTTTGTTTTCACATCTAACCATTCCAGCAGTTAGGTGTGAGCCAAAGGATTTACAGGCAGCAAACAGCCTACGTGAGCTGCATCTACTGGAGGGAGGGAGAGGGACTTTCCTTCTCCTGTGTGTCGTGGGAGGCAGGAGCTGGGGGCTCTGGGAAGGCTGGAGAACAGCTCTGGAGCAGGAGTGTCCTGCCTATGTGGCAGGAGGTCTGCATTATAGAGCTGTCCATATCTATCCTCTGATGCATGAGGAGCACACGTGTCAAGAAACAATGCAAATTAGAAAGGCAGAGTGCGTGGGTTGACCAGATGGCTTTTATCAGCCAAAATGAACCTGATTTTTCCTTTCTCCCTCTCTCTCTCCCCTTCTCCTCCAGAAGCCCTTCAGAGACCGGTAGTGTCAGACTTTGAGCCCCAGGGACTGAGCGAAGCAGCTCGCTGGAACTCCAAGGAAAACCTTCTGTCCTGTCCTAGTGAAAATGACCCCCATCTCTTTGTTGCACTGTATGATTTTGTGGCAAGTGGGGACAATACCCTCAGCATAACTAAAGGTAAGGTTACTGTCCAGAATGGCACTGGGAGTGTGTGAGAAGGCAGAGTTATACACTAAACCCTATGGAATTGTTTTAATTGTGGGGATTCTTATTAAACAAATACATATATTTCACAAAATCATAACCTTTTTAAAGGTTAAAACTGTTTTGTGGGGGTTTTTTTTGCATTGGACAGGAAACTGTAAAAACTGAAGTCTCCATTAGGGGCAAGAATTTGAACTGAGAAATTAAACTAAGCTGATTTTGGAGCTGGCCTCTATTTTCATAGTTCTCCAAAACACAGTCCCTGTATGAAAAATAACTGTGTATATAGATATAAGATATAAGGACCAGAAGGATTGAGTAAGAAAACACTACATGCACCTCCAAGTTACATCTACTTACCTTGCTAACTGAAATTACTTTATTGTTTATCCACTCCAGTTCTCTCCTGGCTCCCTCAGACCAACTCAGTTCAAATAAAATTTGCTGGATTCAGTTTTTAAGCTCAAGCAGTATCGGAGCTGGTGCAGAACTGCACGGGAGCCTGAGAGTCTCCTGAAGCATGTGACTTTATTTGGCTTGGAGGGGTCCACTCAAGCTTGAAGAGAAACACATGCTCCCTGCTGAGTCAGATACCTCTTCTTGTAGGAGATTACTAGTGATCTGTTAGCCAGAAAGAACCTATCTTTGTCCTCAGCTGCCAGGTTTGCCCTGTGTGAATACATTTTCTGTTTTCTCAGGTGAAAAGCTCCGTGTCCTGGGCTACAATCACAATGGGGAGTGGTGCGAGGCCCAGACGAAGAACGGGCAGGGCTGGGTCCCCAGCAACTACATCACCCCCGTGAACAGCTTGGAGAAGCATTCCTGGTATCACGGGCCGGTGTCACGGAATGCTGCCGAGTACCTCCTGAGCAGCGGGATCAACGGGAGCTTCCTGGTGCGGGAGAGCGAGAGCAGCCCCGGCCAGAGATCCATTTCCCTGCGATACGAAGGGAGGGTGTACCACTACAGAATAAACACGGCCTCCGACAGCAAGGTAGGCTCCAGGACATCCAAACCGTGAAGGAAAACCTTGCTGGGGTGCTTTTGTCCACTGACTGCTCGAGGTCAAACAGTAGCAGTTGAACTCAGCAGCTCTGAACCCTGAGAGCAGCGTTCGTCGCCTGTAGTTACAATAAACCCTGAGATTCTGACATGGCTGGGACAAAACACTTTTAGTCCTTTAGCAAACTGTGATATAACACAGCTCAGCAGTGAAACACTTTAAGGTAGAAGATACTAGAGCTACATCACAGCTGAATGTAATGGAGGTCATTAACAAGAGATTCTGAGGATGAATTCTCGTCCCTTGTGTTCAGAAGAGAATCTCTTTGACTGCCAAATAGAAAAGTCAGCACCTGCTGCTTGTAATCCTGTAAATATTAGGGACAGAATGCTTTTTGGGCTATTCTGCAGTGTTTTTAACTAATGTTTTGATTTCTCTACAGTATTTCCGCGTGATCATTGGAGACGGGTAGGCACTTTCACTTTTATATGGGCTGTGCCCCTAGTTCCTTCATTTTTCCCCTAGATTGTTGTGTGCTGTAGCAGTGTTGCAATGCCGTGCTTTGTGGATGCTGCAGAGAAATGTTAGCGTAAAAGTGTAGTTTTCCACAGATTTTGTTGTTTGAATTTCATGGAAATTTTTCTACTGGCATTGGATTTCGGGAAACATTGTTTTTTTTAACAAATCTATTTTAAGCAGTGTCTCTTTAGATCCTGTGCAGAAGTTGAAGTGTGAGTCTGGAGCGTGGCTGCTGAGGCTCTTCTTGCCAGCATCTAATAGATGACAGGTTCTGTGCCGTTAAATCACTTCAAAAGAAAAAAATAAAAACAATCAAGCATAGTAGTGGCCCACTGTGCCCAATTTTCCCTTGTCCAGTGAGAGCTTCACTCTTCTTACAACAATGCCGCCAGCAAAATCTTTAATGTGAAAACGTAGGGAACCAGTACATCATGTTCCTTATTTATCAGGTCACTCTGAAACCTTTAATAAGATAAACAGGTTTTATTCAGTGATGAAATACTTTTTGCCTGCTTTAGCAAACATGTTGTAATTGAGACAGTTCTGGCCATGTTATTTAAGGTAATGTATTCCCAAGTTAAGGTGCCTTGATTCTTCCTTTTCCCTCCCATGCAGACACTCTGTGGTCAGCATCAGCACTGTCAAGTGCTGACATGCAGCATACTTGAAGGACTACGTGGCAATCTGGAATATTATTCCTCCTCCTGTCTCTGTAGCTGCGATTCCCTCTATTCCCATAGATGCTGGCAGATGAGCAGTGTTCACACGTGAACGTTTTGAACCGAATCCTCCTTTGGTTGGTGTAAATAAACACGTGTCCATGAGGAGATAGCACATGTTCTCCATTTGAGCTGTAAAAGGGTTTGGCATGTGAGGGCTTTCATCCCAGCAGAGCTGTTTTTATCCCAGAAACAGAGTTCTGCAGAGCTACACTAATCCATTCGGGTCTGTATTAGCCAGGTTAACTGTTTGTTTTCCACGAAGTTGCTTGAATTGGTGTTTTTGAGGAAAGGTGCAGGTTGGAACAGTTCCCTGCAGCTCATGGTGGCTGGAAAAGCTAAACTGGGCAGCAGCAGTGGCTCAGAGAGCTGTGGCTTTTGGGCTTCACCTCTGCATGCAGGGACAAGTTAAGAGGTACTCCAGTCCTCCTGATGCTGTGCCAAGTGCCAGCATCCCTGCAGAAGTTTGCTATGCCCATGCATCAGGGGCTGCAGTTTGCAGCCTGGCCTGTTAAACCCCATCATTTTCAATTTGCGTTAACGAGCCGGGCAGTGAATTGAGACAGCTTGGTGCCAGATGTGCTGCCCACTCTGCTGCTGGGCTGGGGGACACCGAGCTCTTCCAGCACCCTGTCCCTGGCTGTCAAAGCTGAGGAGCTGGGGGGAGAAGCAGCCAATATCCCTGTCTGTCCCTCTGCAGGATGGAGGCTGCTGGAGCAGGTTCCTGCTCTGAGCTGCTCGTGTCGCACTCAATTACCGGCCTCGCAGCAGAGCGTGGCTGTGCCGAAGGAAAGCTCTTACCTTCACTGCCCTGAGCACCTGGGGCCTCCCCAGCCTGCTGTATCATTAGTCAGCCTGTCCAGGGAATTTAATGTCTGCACGTTCTCCAGTGAGGATGAATGGCTTTGGTGGGATCATATCCTTTGCCTGAGAGAACACGCTTTGGGAGAAAGAGGTATTAGAGGAATGTGTGGAGCAGCTGCTGCTCAGTGTGGTGATGTGTCCTGCATTGCACAGCCTTACCCAGGCTTTGTCCTGGAGGGAAATTAAAGGGACTAGGAAGAGATCAGTATGTCTTAACTTTAGTACTGTTGATACTGAATGCATTGGGGTTCAGCAACTTTAAAAAAAAACATATCCAGGATTTTTTACTTGATTTCCCGTTTTAATGGGTCATATTCTTCCGGACCACCTTTTAATGTTTTGGTTTGTTGGTTGGGGTTTTTTAAAAGGAAGGTATTAAAAGTGAGCTTGCTTGATTTGGCTGGCACAGTGCAGCCAGTCATCTGGTAAACCACTTCCGTGGTACAGAGGACTTGGTTTTCCTGACTTGATAATACTTGAGGCAAAGCCTCCTATTGAGTAACCAACTGAATAAACAGCCTTGCCCAGCCAGTTCTTCAAATCCTGCTGTCTTCAGCATTAAGGAAGCAGGATTCATGTCCTGCTTGAGTCTCTTGGACCCTCCAGTGGCTGAACTGGATGGCCCCTCCTTTATCAGGGACTCTCATGGATTTTTTTTGTGTGGATGTCCTCCATCCTGATGCAGGTTTTCTCTGAAATCTTTGACCATTTATTTAGCCTCTTCTCCTTCTGTAACAAGATCATATAAACTGTCACACTAAATACAGATATCTCTAATTCTTATGAGATATAACTTGTCATAAAACCATGGGCAGCTTCCTTTTCCGTGCTTCTCTAATACTTCCAAGTAATCCTGGAGCTTTCTCTACATCCATATTTTTAGATTTTAATCCTTGGTGTAACATGTGAACTGCTCACACCACTGCAAGTACTTCAAGTCATTCCCAAACAGGCATGGCTTGTTTTAAATTGTGGTTGTACTGGCTAATGCTTGGTCGCTCGCACCAAGCAGCTGCGAAAGCCTCTTATGGTGTCACTTTTCTGTTCTCAGAACATCTGTTATTAAGGTGATTTCACCTCACTGACCATGAAAAGTGTTGCGGGGTTTTGGAGGGTTTTCTTTTTGGTTTGGGTGGGGTTTTTTTAGCTGTGGTGTTGAAATGAGATTTGGTCACTTCACCAAAACAATATCCAGCTCATTTAGGTCGAGGGCTGTAAACATGCTCCCCAGGAGGATGCCTTTATTTTTTAGAGTTAAAGTTTCCCCAGGAGTTTTTTTAATCAGCATCTGTAGCAAAAGCAAAACAAGAGTGAAGGGGAAGCAGATTCCTCCAGACCAGGGCGTAAAACCCTCCACCCTGAATGCCCTTGCACATCGAAAAGCTTTTAACAAGGGCTGTGATTTCCCAGCACTGGAGAGGTAGGTTTCTACAGCAGAGCTGCCTTTTTTGGATCACAAATGCTATTCAGTGTTCACTTCCCAGAACCCTTACAGGGGCCCTCGTTGTGTTACAAAGGCCATAGCTGTACCTTGCAGTCTAACCTGCGGCTGATCTGCGAGGTCGTTCACTGCTGTGTTTGTTTTCCCTTTCCTGGTTACAGTGTGCCTGAGCTGAGCGTTTTACCTTCCTGCAGCTCTTCCAAATAAGTCCATGACACACGTAGATTGGCAGCTTTTGCCATTTCTGACCATAATAGTCACTGGACATACATAAGTTTGTGGCTCATCCTCATAAACCTAAGTAGGGATTTGGGCAAGCGGGATGCTGAGGGGGAGAGGTACTTTCATCTGTCACTCCTTCTTCCTTGAATGACAGAACTGCTCTTTTCCCTCACTTTTTCTTGCATGTAGTGCCTGTGCTCCCATGCTTCAGAATATTTGGGTTTCTCCAGCGCTTCTCATTCTCCTTGTGACTTTGTATAGTAAACAGATGCCTGCAAAGGAGATGTATCCATACAGGAATTGCCAGTCTCCAGTACAAAGACTTTACTTGAATCTGAGGGTGGTTTTATCCCTCCCTGCACACTTTTTTCTTTCCTCTTTCAAATACATCTCCCTTTTCTGTTAGACATATTTGCTTATTGCTGGAGGTTCACAGGGGCATTTTCTTTTTCCATCCAACAATTCTGTCCAGGCAGAAGAGGCAGAATTCGACCCTAAGCCTAGGATTTTTGGATCCCTGGCAGCCCCATCAACTTCCCAGCCTCCTGAAATCCCTGACAGATGGCCACTGCACATGCAGAACCTGTTGAGTGCATATGCAGCAAGTCAAAGGCATTTGGGAAGCTTGATCATAGCTAGTGACATGTGATATGAGCAGTAGGAATAGTGTGTGGACTGGACAGAAATCTGGGAGGCCAACACGGTGCTAACTCTTCCTGCGAGTTTGTCCCTTGCCAGACCTTGGTCCTTTCTGAGAAATGGAGCTCTTGCATCTTCTATGTCCAGCATAGACTGGACTGTGATGCAAAGTGCACTCTGATGCAAAGATTTCTCCCTCTCCTTCAGGTGTAACCACCATCACTTTTCAAATAATTAAATCCCTAGCTTTTGTCACCTTGCGTGGCAGAAAGCTGGGCTTGAGGATGAAAACTAGAAATAGCTCTGGTGGGAAGGAGTCACTTGTCTGTTATCTTTACTAGGATTTTAGGCTTAAAATGGATCTTCTGTATAAATGTTAAGAAGGTAACAAATATGGGTTATCATGCCTCGCAGCAGGTTTTCATTCAGTGGTAATGATTTTACTTCACTGCTATCGACCATTGCCCATCAAAAGGACGGAGCAGGCCAGCTCCCTGATTTCATGCTAATGCTCTGCAGAAGCTTAGGAAAAAGCAGGGAAACCTCCATTTTGCCAAGGACACTTCAAGGAGAATTTAGGCCAAATAGTAATAGTGCAATTGAGACACTGAGGCTGACAACCCCTCACCCTCCAGGAAATGTCCCACAGCCTTTACTGACCAGCCTTCTGAAAAGAGACACCTCAAGCAGCAGCATGTCAGTCTGGTGCTATTTGCAGTCCTTCCTCCCGTTTTGTTTTGGCAAAGTGCATGTATTTTCTCCTGAATCGATGCCTTTCCCATGTAAGCAGTGACTGTTCTGGGCTCTGGAGCTGCTTACAGACCTTGTGGAGCTCCTGGTTCTTGCAGCTTGAGTAGAAGCAACGCCAACACTCCGCTTTCACGATTTTGTGATGTAGTTCCCACGTGTGAGCGTATTTCTACCACAGTGTGCGTTACCTGAGTGAGTCTTCTGTTCCTCTTTGCTTCCCAGCTGTATGTGTCTTCAGAGAGCCGCTTCAACACCTTGGCAGAGTTGGTCCACCACCACTCCACCGTGGCAGATGGGCTCATCACCACCCTGCACTACCCGGCGCCCAAGCGCAACAAGCCCACGATCTACGGCGTGTCCCCCAACTACGACAAGTGGGAGATCGAGAGGACCGACATCACCATGAAGCACAAGCTGGGTGGAGGGCAGTATGGAGAGGTGTATGAAGGAGTCTGGAAGAAGTACAACCTCACAGTGGCTGTGAAGACTCTGAAGGTAGGAGGACTCAATCTCGGAGCGTTCCCAGCAGGAAGCGCGAGTTCAGGGTGGCTGCCCTGCCCTTAGCCCTGGTTAGACATTTGGGTTGATGCCGGGCCTTCCTTTGTGTGCTGTAAGCTTGGAATAGGTTGTTTTTGAAAGAGCTTGACCCTACTATGGTTTATGTGATGCGTGAAACACTCATATGTAAACAAAGGAGGACGTTAACAGCACGATTTTTACTTCAGAATGGATGAAACCTTAGAAAAGTAAATAGTGCCGTGGTGTCTCGCGTTCAGGGTGTGGTAAAGGTGAGCTGTTCATGGATGAACACACCAACACAAACTGGTGTATTAAGGAAAACTGTGGATTATGAGTCAGTCAACATAAAATTCAAAGGCTGTGCTTCAGGGAGGCTTTACATGTTTTGATTTTCTGTCTTATGTGGCGTCTCTCCCAAAAGCCAAGCTCCCTGTGTACCTGGAAGTCTTAAGCAATTGTTCACAGCTGCTTCTTATCAAAAGACACAAGAGGAGGAAAAAGGGTATCCAAGCTAAGATGTATTAAAATTCATAAGTGGCTTTAATGAAGAACTGGATAATCAGTTCTGCTGCTGGCTCTGCTCCCTGATTTCTGTGTCTTGGTTTCCTTGTCTCTTGAAATGCAAATAGTGCTCTGTGAGTTCATAAGGTCATTGCTTAATTCATCTATGTTTATAAAACTGTCTTGAGATCTTCTGGCACCATCTGCACACATTGCATTTGATTGCTTAATAGGAGTTTATGCGAACTTGACACCATGTTCTCTCTCCTCGAATAGGGACGTGGTTTGGTCTTGCAGAAACAAACAGAACAGGGGGTTTTGTTTGTTTCTTTTTGTTTTTTTTGCAGTGGAAATTTTGAAGTGGAGAGAACTGTGTAGATGCTTTAAGTGCCAGGGGAAGAACCTTTCCTTGGTTTGGGGAAAATATTTCATCCTTTCTCTCTGAGCAGTGGCTGCCTCAGTACTTCTGGGTTGCTATGGCTGCAGAAAGTATTTTCATTTTGGCCTTTTTTGTACTCTGGAGGTTCCTGCTGTTGCTCCCAGTGGGGGAGTCCAAGTGCTGCTTGCACAGGGAGCGAGTGACATCTAGTGTTGTCCCTGCTCGGGATCACCCGGGAGTGTTGCAGAGCAGGTGAGCCGGGATGTGACCAGGTTCAGCAAAACACCCACTTTATATTGAGGGGAGTTCAGTGCTTTCCTGGAACGCTGCTTGATGTAACATCTTCCTGCTGTGAGCTGCAGTGTGAGGATTCCCGACGCCTTCAGACTTCTCATCTTGCTTTCATTCTTTTCTCTCTCAAAACCCCTCAACAAAGACAAATTGCATGTTATCCCATCACATCTGTTTGTGCAAAGGAGAAACCTTAATACAGACCATGGCTGTTTCAAATATATCAAATAAATATTTAATGAAACACTGCTAAAAGTGGTTCATAATGTAGCATGGAGCAGCATGTTCCACTGGGGAGTGTAAGAACAACCAAGAAGAGAGTTGAGAAACACTCCAACCCGCAATTATGCACGCTAAAACCATCCTTAAAAGCAAATTTATAATCCACCTTTTTACATCCATTAGTGTACTGCCTGACAGGTGGGATTATAGCTTTCTTCAAAGTTTTTGGAAACATTTTTAAATCACATTTATATCCCAGTTCTACCGGGGAAAACAAGCCTTTCGCAGTTTCTGCACAACCCTTCAGATGACTCATTTTATTTTCCTCTGAGAGAATATTTTTCAAAACTTTTTATGACTCTCCTTGTTTCCTTTCCCCATCTACTCCAGATATCTCTGTAAGAAAAAAGGGAGGGCAGACTAAAAGGGGGGGGGGGGAAAGGTCCTTTGAAAAGAAAGCATCTTTTTGAATAATGATGCTTATGAACACCCGTTTGTTGTTCAGTTTTCTTTCAAGTGCCTAAACATAGCTCATGGCTGGCACAGAACTCTAGAAGGAGGCAACTGAAGCAGCACACACTGTTCCTCAGACAGTGTTTTGGTGCTGAGATATTTCCCATTAAAATGCATCGCTGGCAGCTCCATGGATTGCACAGGACACATCAGTATTTACAAGGGACACGCTCTGAATTTGTGTTTTTACCCCCAGCGTTGGAAAGGGGGCACAGGGCAGGCAGTGGCTGCAGGAACGGGGCACGGAGCTCTGTGACCTGCACAGTGTTGGACCAAGTTCATCCTGATGTGACTGTGACCACAGCCTGTTCTCCTGAGGGCCATTTAATGGCTGAACTGCCATGAGCTGGTCAGCTCAGCACATTTCTCACTGCACACCTTGAGTCTGCAGCCACTAGGACTGCTTCTGCTTTTTCTTTTTTTTTTTTTTCCCTCTCTCCTTTTTTTTTGGTATTTTTTTCCCCAGCAGAGAAGCCTGTGTTTTAAATTAGACAACACACAACCCCAGTGTCCCTTGATGCCATGGCATGGCCCTGTGCTCTGCTAGGAAAATACTTTACAGCCAGAACTGTTTTATTTCTTCCAGTGGGAGCTGGAAGCCGTTTAAGCCTGGTCCTTTGCACGAGATCGGGTTTTCAGAGAGGTCATTGTTACAGTGGTTCTCTGTATGTGTCCTTCCTCTTAATTTGGTCACTGAGAGGTAGGAGATTTCCAGCAGTGGAGCAGCTATGCAGAGGAGAAACCTTCCAGGGTTTGTGTAGCATGAATAAGATCAAGGCGTATTTAGGGTAATTTTGCAACCTGGATTATTAACCCAGTTTCCTTTGCCAAAGAGAACAGTTTAAGGTCCTGCTCACAAGGACCTTTGGACTATTAGTTTTGACAGTGTGTTCAGAAAAATCGCAGCTGCCAATCAAGCTAATTGGCAATGAATAGTAAATGATTGAATGAAACTGCTGGAAAAAATGTTCTCCGTGCTAACTGCAAAGCAGGGAGCTGGCTGGATCTCACCGTGGCAGCCCACTGTTATCGTTCTCACCAGCAGCAGTAAATCCTTTCCAATCCTTCCTTAAAACACTTTGTCCATGTAGCCTGTCAACATTAATCCATCAATGAAAAAAAAATATGGATATAGAAAGAAACATTGCTTTAGGAATAGGTCTGTATTCTTTTGCACCACTTTGAAACGACCTTCCGGCCGTTTGGGGCATATTTGCTTCAGAAAAATATGTCTTTTGAGCAAGAACTTGTCTCTTCCTTGGGTTTGTTCTGTGCCAAGTAACTTTATGGCGCCCAACAAATCGGTAGTGACACGTCTGCCCACAGTGGTTACGTCATGGGTCAGGCTCTAAATGCCAGAAATGAATCTGTGAAACCTTGGACTTTCAGTCACAGAGTGGCTGCCATCGGTCGTGCCTCCCTGTCTGGGATGGGGGGGGAAGTTCTTGTTCCTGCCCATTGAATCTGCAGACCTGAATTTCAGCAGCTTCTCAAGCGTTTGATTGTGTTGTGTCCTTCCTTTTATGTTCATTCTTGTTCCTTTGCTGTACTTTTTATTTCATGTTATCTTTTTTTTCCTGTTAGGAACAAGCACTTTTTTTTTTTTGCCTTTTCAGCTCCTGAGTGTTCCTGTGAGAAACCCCTCACAAAAAGGATATGGATTTTCTTTCCCCAGAAAGCTCAGTTAGAATAAGAATGACAAAAATATGTATTTTTTAAATCATACAAAAAAAGCCAATGTTCCTAACTCCCTGGCTTTGTGATGTGGCTACAGGGAAAAATTACCTTGCAAGAACTATGGCTTATGTTGTCAGCCTGCAGTTCTTTTTGTGTCCTCATACAAAAATCTGTTTCTCCTTTGTGCACACTGTTTGCCAAAGCTTTGCCATTGTTCTGCAGGAGGATACCATGGAAGTGGAAGAGTTCTTGAAAGAAGCTGCAGTAATGAAGGAGATCAAGCATCCGAACTTGGTGCAGTTATTAGGTAAGTGATAAATACCAAGCAGAGGGATTTGAACTAAACCCTTGTGCAGTGATATGGCTGTTAAGGAGCAGATAAGCTGCTTACCATACCAAGGCTTTAAATACAGACACTTATTGTCTGGCAAAATTCACAATTTGTACCACTAATACATGATTTTTAATGATCTCGTCTCCCTAATGTTTAATTTGCCAGAGCCTGAAGCAGAAAATTAAACCCCTCTATTAACCACTTCCAAGCAGAGCTCATGCTTTCCATAAGCCCCATATTTCTACCTTCTGGAGGTGCAAATTGCCCTCGAGGACAAAACCTGAAGATTCACTGATGTTCTCAAACACTCATTGTCACCTTTACGTTGGTCCCCAGGGGTGTGCACACGGGAACCTCCTTTCTACATCATCACGGAGTTCATGACATACGGGAATCTGCTGGATTATCTGCGTGAGTGCAACAGGCAGGAGGTGAATGCTGTGGTGCTGCTGTACATGGCGACTCAGATCTCCTCAGCCATGGAGTACCTGGAGAAGAAAAACTTCATTCACAGGTAGGAAGGACCATGAGCACCCCTGAATCTCGAGCACAGAACACCCCTTGATGTCTTTTCCTGCCTTTCAGGCTATCACAGCGTTGGCTTAGATGCAGTTGGTGTTCTATATTTAACACACTAGTGCATTGTGTTCTGGCACAGTCTGCTAACCTATCTATAGGATGGGTTTTCTCTTAGGGTTTTTCTCTTACCTTTGAAGAAGCTGCAGGTGAAAGACACATCGCTACTTTTATATTTTGGGCAAGGGCCTTAAATGGAAAGGCTTCCCAAAGTAACAGACTTCTAATGGACCAGATGAGCTACTTCCTTGATTGTGACAGCCATTAAAAACTGCAGTTGGCGTTGCTGGATGTGAGCAAGTGCTCGCAGCAGAGCCACCCCTCTAAGCGCCACCTCAGCCCATGTTCTTTCTTGTTTGGTTCGCTTTGTTTCCCATCCTCTGCAGGGATTGTTCCCGCTATTGTCTGGATTGTGTACTCACTTTAATAAGCATCTCTGCAGTCTTTAAAAGTCTCGGAGACTCTGACCTTTAAGTGTGCTGCAATTATGGCTGGAGCTTTGCGTTCCTCATCTGCAGAAGTGGGCTCCTGGCAATATAATGACACATCCTGCGCCAGGGCTGGAGAGTCGCTGAGCTTTATACAAGATGCTCTCGGTGTCGTGGCGTGACCTTTCCTGCCCAATTAACTGGAATATGGAATTAGCACGTGTTTTTCATAGAGACAAATATGAAGATCGTGTGTAAAGTTCTAGGGGCCTCCTCCAAGTCGTGCATTGCCTTTGCTGCCTGAAAGGCCTGTTTAAATGCTGCCATCAGTCAATAAATTGAACAGTGATGCTGCCAATTAAAATTTCCAGCCTTTGATTTGCTCTGTTGAAAGTGTTTTGTCCCCTCAGCCCGCAGGAAGTAAACTTTAAAAACTGCTTTGTGTGAATCTCATTTGTCTGCTCTGCCATTCATTTCATTTCCTCTTATTTCTGATGACCCATTTATCTAAAATAAATAGTAGCATTTTTCCTTATCAGCCACCCCCATAACCACCTACCCAATTATTTGAAGAGTGTTGTCACAATTCACATCCATGGCTTCAAATACTGGGCTCTGACCTCATTTAATGAATCAGGAAGGAGGAGGAATTTGATTATGAAGGGGAGCTTTTATTTAGATACACATTGTAGTAATCAGCATTGATAAGAAGGTGTATTCAAAAACACTGTGTGAATTTAATGGGCATCCAGTAAGAAGTAAGTTTTTCTTTTTTTTTTTTTTATTTTTATTTTTAATTTATTCTGATTGAGCGGAACAAGCAAAAGAAACAGCAGTGTCTGCCTCCTATCTCAAGATCTCACTGGAGCTTCCTGGTAGAATCAATTTTTAGTTCAACGTGACCTAATCTGGAAAAGTGTTTTAACAAAACCTAATATTTGGAAAGATGTGCTTCTGTGCTTTACCTTTTTATCCTCCTGAAGCATTTCTGAGTGTGCAAACAGCAGGTACGATCCAGGGAAGAGGCAAATGCAACGTGCACATCTCTCACCTGCCAGGGTGGAGCCGGGTGAAAAAATGCAGAGGAGAAGCTTAATTTTGCTTATTGCCCAGTCCCTTGAAAATTTCAGTACCGGCAGCAGAGGCTACAGCAGGTTTGCAAAGGCCAAAAGATGGTGTGAACAAGTTGTGTTGTAAAAGGTGGTACACTTGGAAGGAGGAAGAGCAGAGCTGGGAGCTAATCCTGGTGCTTGAGCAAGGACTGGAAAAGGAGTCTGGAGAATAACTGGCGTTAGTTGGGGTGACTGAAGCGTTAGAGGGGTGGGCAAAAAGTGAGGCTTTGAGACTGGGTTTCTTCAGTGCTCATCCTCAGCTATTGATAACTTGAGCACTGACATTTCTTTGAATTATTTTTATCCTGAGGGTGGCAGCTTTTATTGAAACTGAGGGGGCTTCTTGAAGCTCTCACTTCAGATTAGGGAAAGAAAAAAAAAAAAAAGTTTGGATGACAGTCTTACAAAGCCAGGATGGAAAATAACTCTCCCTCTCACATGTGTGCATGTAACTACAGGACTTCTGTGTAATACTCTGATCAAAATAATCACACAGGCCCAGGTTTCCTCGGGAACAGCAGGTTTCCTTGCTATCGCTAAAAGTGAGATGGCAAAGACTCCTCATTGCCTAATTTTTGTCTTTTTCTTTTTTTTTTTTTTTTTTTTTTTTAGGGACCTTGCTGCCAGGAACTGCCTTGTAGGGGAGAACCACTTGGTGAAGGTGGCAGACTTTGGCCTGAGCAGGTTAATGACGGGTGACACGTACACGGCCCACGCTGGGGCAAAATTCCCCATCAAGTGGACTGCACCAGAAAGCCTGGCCTACAACAAGTTCTCCATTAAATCCGACGTCTGGGGTAAGAATTTGCACGAACAAATTAATGCAGATTATGGTCTTCTTTTCTAGGGCTGTGAAATGAGGCCATTGTGGAACATTTCAGGAGGGAAGCACGTTCCCTGGTTTGAGCCACATTGTTCTTTTGAGCTTGTCAAGAGTGCAGGAACTAATCTCTGCTCAGGCAGTCTGAGAGCAGAGCACAGAGGACGCTGACCTGACTTTATATATTTGAGTTGTTGGCAAATATGAAAATAAAGGATGCTGTAGGGTTTATAGAAATGTATGAAATGGGGCTGGAGGACACCAATGCTACTGCCTTGGTGGAGTCATGGCACAGGACTATGAAGGGATATATTGTTATATAGCAAAAAAACTTTCTAACTACTTCAAGGAAGAAAGAATCTGGTTCATTTTATGTTAAAAAAATAATAATTATGTGTGTATCTGTCTAGCGATAGTTCCAAGTTCATCTTTCTGCATTTTAAAAGAATAATCTTTGGAGTGAGATGAGGAGAAGCAGAGGGAAAATTTGATGACAAATGGTTATTGAAGAGCCCTGAAGTGCTGGTGATAAGAGTAGGCTTAGTTAAGTGGAGCTCTGTTCTTTCAAATCTGACCACAGGAAATCTCATTGTACTTTTATCAGCCTTTCTTTGGGTTTTATATCTCTGCCATAGCTGTTGGTCAAATTCTCAAAAGTGCCCAGTGACATGAGATAGAGGTTTGTGGGACGTGGTCCCAAAAGCACTTGGAAAATGATATCCTGAGTATCTCCTATATATAAACCAGCAGACAGTACTGAAGCAGTGCTGAAGTTTTCTGCAGTTTTGGGGGAGACTGTGCAGAGAAAGGCTTCATTTTGGAGAAACTTTCAGGTAGATGGCTGATGCAAAAGGTTCTCTAAAACCCAAAACAGCCTCCCAAAGAATATGTGATTGCTGACCAAGGTGTTTCTGCTGCTTTGGGCTTGCAAGTGGCGTTGGCTGTTTCTGTCTGCCACAGCCTCAGGATGCTGCTGTGGAGGCTGCAGGGTCCCTGTTGCATTTCAGTAGTAGAGTAATCCAGGAAAAAAGATCCCACAGGAGTATTGGGTATCTTTGGTTAGGGTTAGCTGTCACCTTTCAAAGCAGAGTTGGGTCAGTGGACTTTGGGGTCTGATCAGAGCAAACCAGCTGTCCCTGGAGGCCACGGCTGCTGCTGGGCATGCCAGAGTTTGGATGTTTTCACCTCACTGCCTCAAGACAGCAATCAAAGAAAATTGTGCACAGAAATGTCTAATGTAAATTGCCCTTGGTGGCTTTGCCATGTAATGTGATGTGATTTCCTTACTTATGCAGAATTGTAATCGCTTTCTCTTCAGGTTAAGAACAGAATAGGGTGACTGAACTAATTACATGCAGGTTGTTGAACTGGTGTTGGGTTTATTCTGCGTGCCTGACTCCTGGGTTTAGCTGCCTGACCCTGGTGCTGACCTGCATCCCCAGCAGCCCCTGCCAATTGAATGCCTCGCCTGTTCCAAGACCCTTTCTGTGCTCTCCCTTTTCCTGTTCAGCTTTTCCCTGGGACCAAAACATCTCGCCCTCACCGTGCCTTGCCAGCAACTGCTAAAACTTCCCTCTCGCTGCTGCCTCCCACATTTCCCTTCAAGACCATGCTGCAGCTAAACAAGGGCACCCCAAAAACACTGAGCTATTAAAATGTGCAAGTCCTCCAGGGAGAGGTTGCAAATGAGAGGAGCTGTCACACTGAGGGAGCGACTGCAGTGCAGCAGTGAAGCGGTTTCAGCTAATCCACTGTGAAGTCTCTTAATTGTGCCTCTAATAGGACTTGAAGGATCTCAAGGCGTTCAGGTTTGAGACAACTGATACATTGAAAATTAGTCTAATTCTACCCTGTCATATCGCAGGAGACTTGTCTGTGCTGATGGAGTGGCTTGTTACGCTTCTTTAACATTTAAGCTGCTGCTGAGCATGGGATCTGAGCCACCCAGAGCTGGCCCAAGTGTGCAGCACTGTTTAGTGACTAGTCCCACTAAACATCCTCTCAAATTCGAGATGAAAACAAAGCTTATTGATTTTTTTCTTCCTTTTTTTCCCCTCCCTTTTTCTCCACTGCAGCCTTTGGAGTTCTGCTGTGGGAAATTGCAACCTATGGCATGTCCCCTTACCCTGGGATTGACCTGTCTCAAGTCTATGAGCTGTTGGAGAAGGACTATCGTATGGAGCGCCCTGAAGGCTGTCCTGAGAAAGTTTATGAGCTCATGAGAGCATGTAAGTGTTCCTCAGCCTTGCAAACGCTGCTTTTTAGCTCTGCAGGGGTGCAATAAAAGTGCCAGAATCTGGCCACGTGCAGCAAGGCACGAGGAACCCCCTGCCAGTTCCAGGGAAGGTGCAATGCTGTGTGGAAGTGTTTGGTTAAAGCTGCTTTCCCCAGAGGATGAACACGCCATGGAACCAGCTGTTCATCCCTGCTGGGAGCCCACAGGCCCCGGGGAGAGATTTGTTGTGGATCTCAATGCTTTCTTTGTCTCCTTTTTTCCTGACAACTTAAAGAAAAGCTTGTGCTCAAGGATGAAGCAGGAGCTTCGTTTGGCTTCTTGCAGGACTGACTGTTCCTCTTCACTGTGGCTTCTTGGTACGTGACTCAGTGCCACAGGCTTTTTTCCAGTGGTGCTCAGCACCTCCCGTCACACACTAACATGGAAACCTGATTTAGAGAGCGCTGGGTGTCTGCAGCTGTCACTGAGCCAAAGTGGTTGCAGACACCCAGCACCCTGTAAATCAGATTTCTGTGTCAGTGTTTTATCTCACTCAGTGTATTAGAAGGGAAGTGTGATTTCTGGCTGCTCCTGGTGCAGGGCACTGAGCGTCTGCTGCTGGAGGGAAGTTTTGAGTGGTGGTGTGTTTTTTTTTCAGGCTGGCAGTGGAGCCCTTCTGATAGACCTTCCTTTGCTGAGATCCATCAGGCCTTTGAAACGATGTTTCAGGAATCCAGCATATCAGATGGTAAGTCCCTCTTGGACCAGCAGTTCCAGAGATGGGGAAAGGGCTGATGCATCCTTAACTCTGCATAGACTGTTTTCACTGAAACCCACGCCTAGGTTGTACTACCTGGTGTAAATGGCATAGAAAGCAGATACATATTTGCATGTGGTTTTTTTCTGGGAGCAGACATCTCACATTAAAGGGCCAAATGGATGAATAACCTCGAGGAACTTCTGCTTGGCATTGCTCGCTTTTCTTTTTGTGATACTAACTCCAAACAGTGCAGTATTTTTTTTTTATCTTCTGCTGATTTTAATAAATGTTTTTCTTCTGTGCATTGCAGAGGTGGAGAAGGAACTGGGAAAGAAGGGCATGAGGAGTGTAGTGAGCAATTTCCTCCAAGCCCCAGAGTTGCCAACTAAGACGCGAACATCAAGGAGAGCTGCTGAAAGCAAAGATGCCAATGAGGGCTTGGAGACTGCACATGCTCGAGGCCAGGGGGAATGTGGTAGGTTTTAATTAAAGTCATTATTCCTTCAGGAAATACAGGGGAAAACAACGTGCACATCTAGCTCCAGGCCTTCACGTAGGCAGAGCCGTACCTAATAACAGGTGCCATCTCTGTGTACCAGTGCTGTGTTTCTGGGTGACAGGCTGCTGAGTTTGCTGTCCTGGGTCCAGAACTCCTTTTATTAGCTTTTGCAAAGGTAGGTTGTTAATTCTGGGACCAGATACACACAGCAGCTGGGAGTGTGAATCCTTAACTGGCTGAGGGACTGGTGCTTTCTCTGCCGTTGCTTAGAGAAGCCCTCGGAGTTCTTTTAACTTAATGGCTGTTACCTGGAGCTCCCTAAAGACCAGAGCCTGAGCACAGAGCTCTCTGATCATATCCTCTTCCCATTCCCTGGCAGGAGCTATCAGTGGGATCTCCCACTGCCTCTGAGTGCGGGGTAATCTGCTGTGTTCAAGCCACTTTACACTACCACACTGCATAATTTAAAGCAGGGTGATAGCTCGGGTTTTGCAAGCCCCATAAGGGAGGTTTCTTCGCTTTCCATCCTACCAGATTTGTGCTCGCAGCACAGAAGAGTATTACTCTTGGCAGGTACCAAATATAATTTCAGCGAGGGACAAAGAGGTATTTACAGAATCTTCCATAAAATTAAACTTCCAATCAGTTTCTTCAAACATTTGCTTGCCATTCCGAGGCAATAAAAGCGGTGGTAAAAGGCTGATTGAGTACAGGAGATTTGTATCTACCTCGTTTGAAAAATAATAAGGTAAAATGAAATACAGTGGGGTGTTTTTTTTTTTTTCAGCTCCTGTTGAGGCTGCCTCTTCTGACCATTCATGTGACCTTTTTTGTGTAATGTCAGATTCATCTAGTAGTACATGTTTCAGTAGCAAATGCACATCTAGACAAAGAAGTGGGGGGAAAAGAGGGGATTTAAAATGTTGGGAAAAGAAAGTAAAAGTGACTTAGAAATGAAGGTTATTTACCATATATAGGAAACGAAATTGCCTATTATTACAAGCTTTTGAAATGAAATAATTTCATTTAAATACTTAAGGGTTTTGAGAGATTCAAGTGCAGCAGGAATAATACGATTTTAACATTATGCTGGGAGTCATTTCACTGTATACTGTGAAAGAAAATTTTGCACATTAAACTTTTATTGCAGTTTCCCTTCCAATTGTCAGTGTTTCCATAGCAAGTCCAGCAGCTGGAAGCTGATCCTCAGTGCAAGCTGCTAGTTTTCTCTGGATCCTGCAGCTCCACTGTGTCTATAATCAGAAACGCCATGGCCTGTGCTCTGGCTGTCCAGGTCCCCATAAGTCCTGTGGGAATGGTGTTCCTGTAAAAGTGTGCTGTCTTCTCAAAGTCCACAACTATTTTATTTCAAATTCTCTCCCCTCAACCAAAAATCCACTCCTCAACCAAAATCCTACCCAGAGTGTGATGATGACCATCATGTGACTGAGAAGCATCCTCCTTTCCCCTATGACTCTGCTTCACCTCCCCTCTTACTGCCTAGTCAAGCCGTAAATGTATCTGCTGCCCTGCAGGCATTCCTCCTCTGGATCAGAATGCCATCACAGTGCCCGGCCTGGAAATGAGCCCCTCTGTCAGTCAAACACAGAGACCTTCAGGACTCTGTATGAATTTATTATAAACCATTATTCATTTTTAAATACCTCTTGTAAGTGGAGAGAGGGTCACCCCATCACTTCCTTCCACAGCGGTGCTGCTGAAAGAGGCTGGTGCTGCCCCTTTGCTCTGTTACTGTACAAAGCTGAGCATCTTCACCGTGGTTTCTGCTCATGAAACAGTTATTTCCATTCCCCACAAAGAGTGACATCAGGAAAATGAACGAGGAGCCCGGGGATGGAGGTGGGTTACAGAGGTGCCTTATTAATTCAGAGGGTCAGCGATTCAAAAGACAGCAATAGCACAGGGACTAAAGCAAAGGCCTCTTTGTATTTATCTTCTTCACAGTGTGAAGTTTAGACAAGTCTCCAGATGTGAGGATGGGAATCTGAACACAAATATGTGATGTTTGTGTGATGTTCTTTCAGTCGGAAGCCTACAGGGAAAGTAGTTTGGCAGCCACCTCAGGAATGAATGGATGCAGGATCAGGGACCACATTCAGTCCAGGCTTGAGTGTGGCTGCACTTGCTTTAGCTCTGCTCTGAAGTTGTGTCTCTTTAGAGCACCTGCACCTTCTGGAGGTGCTGAAGTGGTTTGCTCTTGTAAGAAAACAGATTATTCTGGCTCTCGGAGCAACACTCAGAAAACTCTTTTCATTTCCCTTGCAGACCCTCTGGACCACGAACCTGCTATTTCTCCCTTGCTCCCACGGAAGGAGAGGGTGGCCCTGGAGAGCAGTTTGAATGAAGATGAGCGGCTGCTTCCGAAGGACAAAAAGCACAACCTCTTCAGCGCCCTGATCAAGAAGAAGAAGAAGACAGCTCCTACACCTCCGAAACGGAGCAGTTCCTTCAGAGAGATGGACGGGCACTCGGACCGCCGGGCGGGCGGCGAGGAGGAGTGCAGGGATGCTGGCAACGGGGCTTTCGTTGCACCCCCCGCAGACACAGCTGACCCCTCCAAGTTTCAGAACCCAAGCAATGGGGCTGGTGTCACCAACGGGGTTGTCGCTGGGAACTCTGGGTTCCTGTCCCCCCATTTACGGAAGAAGTCCAGCACGATGAGCAGCGGCCGAGGGGTGGCTGGGGAGGAGGAGAGCAGTTCCAACTCGGGCAAACGTTTCCTGAGGTCCTGCTCAGCCTCCTGTGTGCCCCACGGAGCGAAGGACACGGAGTGGAAATCCGTGACTCTGCCTCGGGATTTGCAGTCCACGGGTCGCCAGTTTGATTCCTCCACGTTTGGGGGGCACAGAAGTGAAAAGCCAGCACTGCCTCGGAAACGGGCAAACGAGGCCAAGACTGACGTTGCTGTCAGGGGGACAGTGACCCCTCCTCCACGGCTGCTTAAGAAAAACGAAGAGACCACTGATGATGTGTTCAAAGATGCAGAGTCGAGCCCTGGCTCCAGCCCTCCCACCCTGACACCAAAACTTGGCCGTAGGCAACCTGCTGCCCCTCCTTCCTCCGGCGGGCTCCACAAGGAGGATGGGGTCAAATCCAGTGCCTTAGGTACCACTGTGACCATGGACCAAGGTTCTGCTGCCAAACCCAACCCCGCTGGGTTCGTGGGGGCCAGCAAGGTTTCCTCTGAGGAGCCACGACTGAGGAGGCTCAAGCAGACCTCGGAGTCGGCAGGGAAGGACAAAGGGAAGTTATCAAAGCTGAAACCGGCCCCTCCGCTCCCGCTCGCTTCATCCTCCATCGCCAAGCCCGGGAAGGTTTCTCACAGTCCCAGCCATGAAGCAGCAGCAGATGTGGTGTCTGGGCCGAAATCCAAACAGTTGACTCAGGTTGGAGAGGCTGCAGGCAGTGATGCTGTCAAGCCAAACCAGTCAGGGGAAGGTGTGAAAAAGCTGGGGATCCCCTCTGTACCAAAGCCACAGTCCTCTACAAAGCTGCTGCTGAGCACAGCAACCCCAGCTGCCTCTTCCTCATCCATACCCTCTGCCCCAGGCGGGGACCAGGCGTCATCCACAGCCTTCATCCCTCTCATATCCACCAGGGTCTCGCTGCGGAAGACCCGGCAGCCCCCGGAGAGGATTGCCAGCGGCACCATCACCAAAGGGGTGGTGCTGGAAAGCACCGAGGCTCTGCGGGTCGCCATCAGCAAGAACTCTGAGCAAATGGCAAGCCACAGCGCCGTCCTGGAGGCTGGCAAGAACCTCTACACCTTCTGCGTGAGCTACGTGGACTCCATTCAGCAGATGAGGAACAAATTTGCCTTTAGGGAGGCCATCAATAAGCTGGAGAACAACCTGCGGGAGCTTCAGATCTGCCCGGCCACGGCCGGCAGCGGCGCCGCGGCCACCCAGGACTTCAGCAAACTTCTCAGTTCAGTGAAAGAAATCAGCGACATTGTTCAGAGGTAGCAGAAAAAACAGGTTAGAAACAAACAAATCAAATCAATCACAATGGGCCAAAGCCAGCTGTGGAGAGAGTAATGTGTGGACTGACAAAAGGACCGGGACGTTCAGGTTGGGGCTGTGCAAAGGACGCAGACTGTGAATGGGCGCCCCAGCTCCAAAGGGCAGGGCTGTGTTCAGGAGGCACTTTCCACCCTCTGAACTCAGATTCCCTGTGTTTCATATACTTGTAATCGTCTTATCTGTGGAGTTCTTGCCTTGTGGACTACAAGTCTAAATGCTGATGTCACGCCATGCCTTTTTATTAATATTTTATTGTTCTGGACAGACCGTTAAGACTGAAGCCAGGCTGATGGACACTGAGATACCATCCTCCTCAGGAGGACTTTGTACTGCATTTTCATCCCCTCTCTCTGCCCCCCTGTACACGATGATGCGTGTTTGGATAGCAATATACCCACTGTGTTTCTTGGGAGAGCTGCAGCACGTGGCCCTGGCCCAAGTCTGACGTTTTCCTGACATTAATGAAACATTTGGCGCTTGGGAGGGGAGGGGGGAAAAATAATTAATGTAAGGTTTTTATGAATGACAGAATGCTACAAATGATGATTGCCCATATTCTTGCTGTGATTCCACCAGCTGCCCTTTGTTTCTGTGTTTTCAGTAGATTCTCAGTGTTGTTGAGCTCAGATGAGCTGTTGGGTTCACAATGTTGGAGGCAGCACCTGCGGATCTCCCTCGGTAGCAAAACAGGACTGGGGAAGGTCTGGAGGAGGTTGTGCTATCAGTCTCGTGATATCTGACATTATTTGGGCTGGTGTTTGGCGTGGGGGGTTGCAGAGCCCAGGGAGCTGGTGCTGAGCAAGGCATTGCTCCCTGAAAGCCGGAGAGGGGCAGTGAGGGGGGATGGCTTGGGATGAGCTCTGAAACACCACTGTGCCTCCAGCAGCTGTCTCGGCTGAGCCTGCACGTTGCAGTGGATGGGAACTGCTGTGCCTCCAGTTGAATTTTGTTCTGTGAGTAGAGAAGGGGCCTGGCCTCTGCCCTCCTGTGCTTTGAGGGGCTGTGGTGCCTGCCTTTCCGTGCCAGTGGAGCTCCCCGGGAAGAGCTCCAATGCCAGTACTCTGGGGTTAAACCATTAGTACCTTCATGGTGGTGTGATTCCATCCAGCATCAAACAAGGATCTGTGAAGACTGCAGACGCTTCCCTTGGGTGCATCTCCCAAGGAAACCGCCACAAAATGCTGACAGCAGGACTCCTGGCCTTCCTTTCCAAGGCCCTGTGACCTTCCCAACTAATGCAGCACGGCTGGGAACTAACTGTGACTTGTGACAATAGTGAAAGAACAAGGTTTAGGGCTATTAACAGTGCAATTTAACTCCTCTTAACAGTTCCAAACATGAGAAAAACACATTTTTCATGTCCTGTTCCCCTGTAACTCTCGTGACCCCTCTTGTGTATCTTAAACACTAATTGCCTTCAATTGTATTTTATGCTGTTCTCTTTGGAACTGTTTGTTTTGTATATGATTTCTAGTACTTCACTCGTGTGTGTTCACACCACTTCTCGCCCTCACAAACAGCCATGACTTAACACGTGACAAATGTTCAAAAGAAAATACACACTTCTGCCACAGGCTGCCTTTAAAAATGTAAGAAAAGAGAAAAAAAAAAACAACCCTTGGACTGTCTCTTTCCTGGAGGTACTGTTTTTACTTTGATAACATATTGTGCCACTATATTATACATTTGTATCTTGTTATTACACACTTTTGTAGACTTGTCTTTTTTACAGTGTGTAAATAGCTCTGTCCTTCATCTCTGTGATACTTAAGGGGGTCGTTTCCCCTTTAATTTAGTCCAGTACAGATTGTTTCTGTACATGACTTTCAATTCTTCCTCTTCTCTCTCTCTATTTTCCTTTTTTTTTTTTTTTTGATTTATTTTTTATTCCAGTCTCTCTTGTGTAGTGTATTTAAAAATAAATCAATGTTGAAGAAAACCTGTGTTTGTCTGTTAGCAAAGCTTTTCCAACCCCAGTTACCTCCCCTTAGATTCAGCATCTGAAAACAGGGGTTCCCTGTTTGGGGGGTTCACCGTGGCCCTTGGGCACAGAGGGATTTGTGGAGCCAGGCCAGCAGCCCCTTTCCATGTTCTTTTGATCTGGCTCTGGGAAGTCAGGAGAGAAAAGAGATGCACAGAATAAAGACTGTGTCATCACCTCTTTTGAATCAAAGACTTCACTGTTGTCTTCAAAGATTTAAATCAGAGATTTGACTAAACTTTTCTTCCTGTTAGTGGTTTGTAATCTGTAATTCAGCTGCTCTTGTGGTTTCCTCCTCCTCTGCTGTGACATGACCCATGAGTTTCTCTCCTCTTACTGTTCCCTCCTTCATTTCTGATTGCCCATTTTTATCTTCAGCCTTTCCAGCGAATCTGGGGGGTTCCAGGTGGGAGTGTGACCAAGATCCTGCCAAGGTCAATGTCCAGGCTGCTCTTCCAAGTCTTGCATATGGTGAATGGCTGTGGGCTGAGGGAAGATGAAGAGGCTTAACCTGCCCCTAAATACCACCACACCTGGTGATCTCCATCTCCACTGGCTTAGGGACCAGTCCATGGTGTCGTGGGAAGGCAGAGGCCAGTTGACCCGGCTGGGGAAAGCCCCAGGATCTGTGGTGTTGGGAGTGAGAGAGAGGGGATTAAAGGCTAAATTTAGCTGAGTACAGTAGGAGTTGATTTAACAGATCGATGCATTTAGCAGTTTGATTGCTCCAATTTTCAAGGCTATTGAGCTTGAAAGTGAGAGTGCTCTGAGGGAAAAATAGCTGTGTTTGTGGTTTTGTTTTGGTTTTCGTGTCTTTGAAATTACAATGTACGCTCTTTTAAGTTTTAAAGGAAAACTTGTCATCTTGCCTTTTGTTGAGAAGTTGCTTGTCATGAGATGTAAAATGTGGTCAGTGTTTTAGGCTCTTTTTCCTTAAAAATCCCGTGTTAATACAGGCAGGCTGGTGTGGCAGCCTGGCTTGTGGAGGTGCTGCTGGGCCAGCAGTGCTTTCAGGTGTGTGGGAGTGCTGCCTGTCCCCTGGGATGGTCAGGGACAACCCACAGCCTCTCCCTTGCTTGACATTCATCCTTCCACAACTGAAAAGAGAGGAAAACACACCTAAGCACGGTGTCAGCTCTGAGGAGAGGGTTTCTTACATCACCTGTACATCTAAAAGCAGGCTGGCAGCAGAGCAGGACACACTTCTGGTCCAGGGCTGAGTCCTGGCCTGGGTGAGCTGCTGGAAAAGATGCTCCTGCATCAATCTGTGGTCAGTCCTGATGCCTGGGCAGTGCTGGTGCCCCTAAAGCTGTGGATGAGGGACAGCCCTGCGAGTCATTCCCGTGCAGAGGCTGGGCTCAGAGCTGTCCTCCCTGGCAGTGCTGCCCGGTGGGTGTTGGCTGGTAGCTCCAGCTCAGCAGAAAGTTAACCTGCAAGTCAGTCCACGCTGAACATTTTTCCAGCAATCTCCCCCCTGTCGGGGGTTCTGTGTTTGTCCTGCCATCCATTCTGCTGATAAAGGTCCCACCTGTGCTCCCGAAGCCGCAGCACTGCATGACCCAGTTATGATGCACGAGCCTCTTCCTGAGTCCCTTGGATATGATTAAATCGGGCTCTTTCTCTGCAGAGGATCCCCTGGGCTTCTGAAATTCGCTGTTCCCGTGGTGTGTGTTTGTGGTGCTGCACTTTTTTTGTCTGTAGTCTGCTCGGGGTGGGGGAAAGGTGATGAGCAGCCTGTGGGAATGGAGTGGATGGGCGGAGATGGGGCAGGGACAGGGGTTGTGCCTGGGCAGGGGAGGATAACGGGGTGTTTTATAGGGAGTCCCAGCAGCGGTGATGTTGGCAGCAAGAGTCTGCATCGACCCTTGCTGCCTGGGTCCACTGGCCATGTGCAGAAGAATCCAGTGCCAATTTGGTGCCATCCCTGTGTGGGTTGGCTGGCACAGCAGACAATGGTGCCAGAGCTCCAGGAATGTCCCGTCTTGTCCACACTCCTCTCTGCCACCCTGCGTGGCTGTTCCACAGTGAATCCAGTTTGGTGTGCAGGTGGGTCCACAAAGGTGTTGGGGTTCTGGGTGTCCCCTCAGGAGTTGCTCCACAAAGGGACCAGGGAGGGGAGGATTTGGGAAGAGCTGGATGGGAGACACCACGTCCAGTGTGCAGGGACAGGCTCTCCAGCCTCCTGTGGATCGTTCTTTGCATGTTCCCCCCTCCTTCCTCCCAGACACACCCCCAGACTCCAGGCAGTTATTTTCCATTTAATTTTACCTCCCCTCTCCCTGCAGCGTTAATCACCAAGGAGCAATAATGAAGAGCCTGGAATGCTGCCTCTTCCCGAGCACACCAGGCACCCTAAGGTGTGTGCCAAGGTGAGCTCCAGGGCTGCCCCACATCGCAGCCTGGAGGGAGCCCCTTTTCTGCCAGAGGGTGAGGAGGGGCATGACATCGCCCCTGTGGCACCAAGCTGCCCATCAAGGAGCCCTGGAGTGCAGGGGCTGAGCCCAGCTCTGTCCCACCTGCCAGGTAAGTGCTTCACTTTTCAGTGAGTTCTACAGAGGTTATTGCACATCAATCAGCCTCGTTATATGTGTGCTTTTATCGTGCTGCTCTGAGCCTGTTCCTATCCTGCACTTGAGAGCAGCAGCTCAGGCATCCCCAGAGCCACAGCATTGCCCAGCAGTTTTCCTTTCCTTTCCCTTCCCGCAGCAGCCAGTGCCACTTTTCCCTGCAATGATCCATCACAGCAAAGCCAAGGATTTACCGGCCCTCACTAACCCAGAGTTCCTCCAAAACTCTTTCCCCTTCCTCCCTCCCCATCCCTCCCCCGACTCCAGTGCAGGGTAAAATTGATCAGTGCGTTTTTATTGATGGTTTGAACACTCAAAAGAAAGGGGGGGGGGGGGGGGGAGAAAAGGAGTAGTTGCCATAGAAACATCGATAAAGCTCCCGTCTCCACTGAGGGATGCGAGCGCGGCGCCTGCGTCCCGATCCAAACCAGGGCCCGTGGTGGGGCAGAATCCAGAGGGGTGGGGGCGGGTTTGGGGGTGCCTGGGGTGCCTGGCTGTGTGGGCTCAGCCGTCCTGAGTGCTGTTGGTCTCTGCCGTGGTCCCCACAGTGTGAGATGGTCCTGGCAGCAGGGATGCAGGGGAAGGAAATGCCCTTCCTCGCCTTCGCAGCTGGTGGTGTCCCCGTGTGAGGGCCAAGCCCTGGCATCGTCCGTATCCCTGAAAACCTGGAGTCCCTCCCGTTCTGCACCCTCCCTGGATGAGCCTGGTCCAGTGTTTCCATCACTTCTCCTTGAACCCCATGGCTGATGTTTTCCTGGGGGTTCCAGCTCCTCCATCCAGCCTTTAGTTACTGCTCCCGCTGCCAGAACAACTCACGCAGCACTGCATTAAGTGGTCTGTCTGCTTGATGGATATTACAATGCACCTCTTGCAGCCTGATTTAGGGGTTTTTTTTTTAATCTTTTTACTCCCCCAACCAAGTCCTGCCACGGTCTCTGATTTTTGAGGGTGCAATTTAGCGCTTGCAAATCATCTCCCGGCTCATTTTTGTGCCTGCAATGAAATATCAGCAGTCGCTCAGTGTGTAAGTTGCTGTTAGTGCCTGCAGCAGGTAGTTAGAGCTCTGATTGCTGGTACCTCTGGCAGGCACAGAGCAAATGCCGACGTTGGCAGAGCTCAGTCTGCCCAAAGGAGGGGAAGGCAGTGTCTGGGCAGTGGGGTTTGTCTTGCACCGCTGTGGCTGTGCTGGTTTTTGGGGCCAGTGATTCCCAAAGCTTCACCACTGAGGGCTGGAGAGCAGGGAGACGCTGAGAAGTCCTCAATGGCCCCGGGTGTGACCCAAATTCTACAGCTGGGAATAGGTAGGGATGAGGCGGGGAAGGAATTGGGAAGGGCCAGGCTTCCAGGCAGGTGCTGGGGTGGTGTGGCAAGGACACGAAAGGTCGATTAACACCACCTCATCCTGGTGAGGACTGGCTCTGGGGGCCAGGGAGTGACAGGGGTGTTGGGGCTGTGGCAGGACTGGTGATGCCAGGGCAGGTTTCTGTGCTCATGCCAGGGATTGCTAAGGACAAGATTTTCTCCAACCCCGCTGCTCTGTCCTGGTTTTTGCGCGCAGGAGCTGCCTCGTGTCAGTGGCATCCTGGCACTAAGCAGAATTTGCTGCCGGAGGGACTTTTCCTTAATAGGCAGGAGAGCAGCAACTCGGCAGAGAGCTCTGAAGGACCCTCTCCTCCCTAACAGCCAGCCCTGGAGAGCAGGTGCAGGCAGTCCCTGGGGACTGTCACCACCAGGACTATCCCATTGTAACCCTCCAGCCTCTCTGCCTGGCCCTACTGGCACTGCCTGTCCCGTTGTGCCATCCCTGCTCTCTGCCAGCACTGCAGCACTGGAGACCCAGTGCTGGGCCCTTTCCCTGTGCCCCTGCAAAATCTGTCTGTGACCAGGAAAGGGATGCGGTGGCTTCTTTTTAAGGCACCTCCTCTTCTTTTGTTGCACCGGTTGGGAACAGGGACGTGAGACCTAGAGCAGGGCTGTGAGCGGAGCAAACGCCGTGTCCCTCATCCCCAAGGCAATCCCAGCAGCAAACCCACCCCCCAATACCCTTTTGTCCGAGCAAACCCAGGCGAGGTGGAAGGGAAGGACAGGACGGGGTGACCCGCTGGAGGGTGGGGTTGGAGGGGGATCAAGTCCAAGCCCTCATCTCCCGAAGCGGAAGGTGAAGCCCCCTTTTTTCCTGTTGTAGCCGTTCAGCTCCTCGGCCAGGTTGCCCAGGGTGCCGCTGCGCTTCTCCCCAGCGGCGGGCAGCACCTCGGAGCTCCCCCTCCTGCCCGGCCGCTGCCCGGCCCCGGCCGAGCCGTAGCCCCGCAGCTCCCGGGCGATGCCCAGCAGCGCGTCCAGCTCCTCGCTTCGCCTCCGCTTCGCCCCTGCCCTCCAGCCGGCGCCCGGGTCCTCCGCCGCTGGTTGCCACCTGGGACCGAGCAGGGTCCCCTCCCCAGGGCGTCCTGGCTCCCGCCGCTCGCCGGGAGGGAAGCAGGCCCCCAGGCTCAGGAGGAAGAGGCAGGACAGCGAGTAGGGTGCTCTCATCTAGGGGAAGCACAGGGAGGGAAAGGCAGGTCAGTAAACCGCCGAGCATCCTCGGGCGGCAGCGGAAGCAGCAGCACGGGATGCCCTCGGCCGCCACGTGTTCCTCGCCCCCTGCTGCTACAGCACCCCCAAAACCAGCCCTGCTGGCCCTGCCAGAGCTCCACCCCACAACAATCACCCACTGCTCCTTCTGCAGCCTCCACACCAGCACCCAGCCCCATTGCGGGTGCTGGGGGAGTCTGAGCTCCCCCCGTGCCTCCTTCAGACCTGCTGCCCTTCAGCAGCAGCAGCTCCGCGCTCGCGAACCCCAGCCTTGCAGCGACTGCCCTGGTTCGCGGCCGGGAGCCAGGCGGGCTCTGCCGGGGTGGGGGGCTGAGAGCCGGGCAGGGCGATGGGCTCCAGAGCTGCTCGCTCGCTCCTCTTGGAGGCACCTCGGGAGGACTCTGTGCATCCTCCTGATTGTCCCCACGAGTAAGTCCTGCCTGCAAGGAGCCTTTGCCTCCTCACTGGCTGCAGGTGTGAAGCAGGTATGTGGGGGCAGACAGACAGACACAGAAACAAACAGAAGGGAGCCACTCACCTCTCCGCCCTGGCGCTGCCCAGCGCTGCCGGCCCTGGCCCTGCTCCGTGCTGCCCCGTGCCCAGATGAGCAGCCAGCCCGCCCTGGGCCATTAAATACCCGCCTGGTCCAATTGCTGTGTCACCTCTTGAACGTGTGGCCAAAGAGAGCAGAGGGTGGGATTCTCGGGGATGGGGCTGGAGAGGAGGATGGGGGGGACAGGGGTTGGTGGAGCTGCCACAATGTGAGTATGGCAACACCGCTCATTAACGCGCCGCCTTCATTTGCTGCCTCGTTTGGAGGGGTGGTTGGGAGCTGGCCTTGAGTCCCTGGCAGCTGGGTGTGCTGCTGGAGGAAAGAGTCTTGTCTGGGTGCAGGAGTGTGTCCCCCCCGTTCGGCTGGTGTGTCCTTATGTGCAGCTCTTGGGGGTCCCAGTGTGGTGGGTACACAGGCATCAAGACTCTTGCTGCCCCAAATTCCCCCAGGGACTGGCCCCACATGGACAAGACCAAGTGCTGGTCCCCTCCCTGGTCAATGAATGCAGCCACCAGTGCTGAAACATGGCCCCCAGTGCCTGGGACCCTGCTGTCCCCTCCGGGTCTGTGGCCTGGCCTGTGACAGAATGGGATTTGGGGTGAGCAGCTCAGAGGGAAGGGGCTGAGGGCAATGCTTGGTGCTCTGCCTGTCAGAGCAGGGAGAGGGTTCCCTTGGCTCTGCCACCCTCCCAGTCCCAGCCCCAGGGCCACCCTGAGGTCCCACGGTGCCTCAGTTTGGGCTGGAACTCTGAGAAGACTCAACTGCCCCCCAGTTCTCCCCATCTCTTGTTTTACAGAACGGTTCTGCCTCAGTGATCGAGTTCCTGGGGATTCCACGCCGGGAGCCTGGCACAGGGAAGGAGCTGTCCCCACAGCACAGCAGGGGCTGCTCCCTTTGCCATCACCACGGCAGGTCCCTCCGGCGATGACCCCACACTGCGCCGCGGGCACGGCCGCCGAGACGCTTGGCTAACGATGAGATCCTTTTATTAAGGAGTTTAGAAAGTCCACATGTACAGCGTTGGACACACTCACACACGACCTAGAGAGAGACTTCACGGCACTGCTACACACCACGACCTGGCTCAGGGCTGCGCCGGGAAGGTACGTGGCCACATCCCGGACCCCCCAGTTGCCTCTGCCCTCCCCTCTCCGGGGAGGTGTCACCACGGACGGGTTTAACCTAATCCAGGGCCATGGAGCAATGTGTGCGCTCTTGGGAATAATCCTGGGAAATCCTGCGTCTTGGCATGGATTAAATACCTCTCGTGCAAGTCAAAACAAAGTCACTGGGGCGGGGGGTCCCGGATGACACAGGCAGTTACACAAGGATGTGCTACCGACAAACTGATGTACAGCGTCCCCTCCCCGGCGTGGCAAAACGCCAGTGGAGGGGTCTGGGGAGGGGAGAGCCTTCCCACCTGGCACATGGCTCCAAACGCCTTCCTGGCCCAAAGGCAAGTGCTAGAAAACACAGCTACAGCTACTCCACAAAATAAATGAACGAAAAGTAAAGATGGGTGCAGGCGGGACCCTCTCTGGAGAGGTCCGGTGGGGCACAGGAAGCCCCTGGGAAGCTGTCAGGGGCTCCTGCTCTTGAGCTGGGGAGCGCCACTGCTGAGCTCCCCGAATTCCATCCTTCCAAAAAGCCTGAGCAGCTGCTCTGGGCAGGGTTGGAGTAGGCAGAGCTGGTGCCTGCACTCAGAGCTCATCCTCACCTGAGGGCTCTGAGGAAATGTCTCTAGAGCAGGGAAAAGTGATCCCAATACATTGTTTGTCCTTGTTTTCCTGGCAAAACAGACACACAGGGACTCACCCAGCAAGTGAATGGGCTTGTCCAGCACAGGATCCGAGGTGGGAAGGCTTAAAAAAAGAAGAATCACGGAGGGCAGTACAAACCTGGCACAGCTGAGAAGGTGAGCCTTTGATCCCCCCATGCCTTAAGCCCCCCTGGAAATGGGGACGGTGGGAGTTTTTCTCCCCTCCTCAGTCCATCTATCTGTCCAACAGTGTTTCTGGGGGCCAGGGCTCTGCTCCCCATCACTGCTGTATCACAGGCAGAAAATGATGGACAGGGTGACAGGGTCCCTGCTGTCTCCTTCCCTCTCTGCTTCAGAGCCTTCTCACATTTGGTTCTAGGGGTTTTTTTGGGATGAAATCTCCCATTTGAGTCCTTCCAGGGAGCCAGCAGGAGACATCAGTCCCGCACCCCATAGCAGCTCCTGCTTGGGTTGGCTGGTGCGTGGCACTGCTGCTGCCCAGTTATCAGGGCCCTGCAGATGCTAAGCCCCACTCGGGGCTTCTTTTTTTTTGCAAAACCTTAACGGGATTTGAGGAAATGAAAGGCTTTGGATATCTGCAGGTGCCGAGCCAGCGCACGGCTCAGCCGGGGTGAAAACGAGTGCGGGTCCCCAGGCCGGCAGTGAGCGGAGGGAGCTCACAGGGGGGATGTGTCTGTGCTGCCCAAAGCCAAGGGCTGGGGGAAAGGTCACAGCTTCTGGATGGCCGACGTGAATCCGGGTGACTCTGGCTGTGGGGGAGGAGCTGCGAAACGCAGGCAGAGCCGTGCTGGGAAGTGAACCTTCCTCGCCCCCTCCTCCTCCTGCTTGCTGTGCTCCCAGTTTCTCCAGCGCTGCCAAAACAGCTCCATGCCACGCTCAGTTCTGGGTGGGTGTCCTTGTAGCACTGCACCATCTTGCTTTGGGGTGTCCTGACCCACGGGGAGGCTCCAGGAGGCAGGACAGGAACAACAGGGACTAACGAGCTGGTAATTGTCCCTTCCCAGCTGTGTCGCTCTTCCAGGGACAGAGGCAAATGTTCTGTAGTCCAGAGAAAGAATCACTGGCACGGTCAGGCTGACCCAGCTGAGCCCTCCCCATCACTAATAGCACCATGGGGGGAGCTGGAACTGTGGAGCAGCCTTGTACCAGTCTGGGGGGCTCTGGGGTGTTGGGGCTCCCCGTGGCAAGTGCCCCCAGTCACTTGCCACCTTGGTGAGGCCACTGCCTGGAGCCTGTGCCTGGAACAGAGGTGATGAGAGGTGCTCAGCCTACCTGGGCTACTGCATCCCTCCCTACCTCCAGGCAGCCCCTTCTCTTCCTTGCTGGACCTCGCTGGGCACCTCTCCCCAAATCCCTGCATCCCACTGCCCTCTCTGCCACATCCATGAGCACCAGCCATGGGTCACGCTCTGGCCAGGACACCCATTCTGGCTGCAGCGGAGCCATGGCCATGGGAAGCAAAGGTCCAGCAATGTCCGTGGATGCCCAGGAGATAAAGTCACCCTCACTGGGGGCAGGTGCTCCCCAGAGGCCCCTCAAAGATGGGCCAGCCCTTGGGGAGGATGGGGAGGATGGCATCTGGGGGGGGACGGGGCTGGAGGGTGGTGGGGAAGGGCAGGGGGCTGGGCACAGTGCGGGGGGGCTCGTGCCATCCAGCTAATTCTCTTCCCGGATGGGCCGGATCTTCATCTCGGTGAATTTGAGGGAGTACTGCCAGCCGGTCCAGGAGGACCACTCGATGCCGTCGGCGTAGGAGCTGTGGTGGCCCTTGAGGTACTGCCCGTTGAGGTTGGAGGTGTGGCAGTTGCGGTACCACCAGGCACCGTGGTAGAAAGCTGCGCAGTTGTTCTCCGAGTGGTCGTTGTCCAGGTCCTTGGTGGTGAACTTCATCCCGTTGTGCTTCAGGAGGGAGTCACCTGTCCCGGGGGAAAGGAGATGTGGTGAGCCCTTCCTGCCCTTGGGCCAGCTCCCTGTCCCATGGGCACCACAGTGGGATTCCTACAATGGGTCTCCTCCTGCAAAAGCCCCTTCGCTGCCTCCAGCTCCCCACGGCCGCAGGGATACAGCTGGTGCCACTGCCAGAGGGGACTGGAACACTCCAGCGAGGGGGTTTGGTGGCTGTGGGCTCTCCTTGCCCGTGGGCCCATGTGTGTCCCCCTGCCACGGCCTTACCTGCCGTCCCCGAGTAGTCGGCGACAGTGATGGGGTACCCGTCCTCCTCGGGGTCCACAGAGAAGAGCCCCACCCCGAAGCTGCCGTAGTGGGCGAAGGCAGTGCCGTTGTCAAAGTCCTCCAGGTCGATGCGGAGCTCGTAGCTGCCCTGGACTGTCAGCATGTGGATCCGCTTCAGCCCTGCAGCGGAGGGAGGTGGTGAGTGCAGGGACCCCGCTGGGGATGGGGTGGCCTCTGGTCCCTGGGGAGGGGCCCCAGGGTGGGATAGGGAGCAGTTCCCACCCTCCATCCCTCTCTCCTGGCTGCACGGCCGAGGGCACATGCTCAGCTGGGGGGCAAACAGCCCCATTGCCTCCCTGCCCTGTGCAGCCACCTGACCCCCTCCGTGCCTGCCCAGCCCAGCACTCCCAGGACATGGGTGCTGGCCAAGGGTGTCTTGGTGTGCCCTCCCTTGCAAAGGAAACCCTAGGCCCCTTCAGGAGACCCCAGGCTTTGCCAGCCCACCCAGGAGTGAGCAGTGCCAGCCCCACACACCTAACCAGTGCTCTCCCGTCAGCTTCCCAAAGCCATCCCGGTAGGCTTCCCAGCCACGGAAGAAGTTCACAGAGCCATCTTCCCGCCGCTGGAACACCTGGGGAGAAACAAGGGGCATCAGTTGTGGGGCTGCTCCGAGCCTGTGCACCCCGGGCAGCCCCCCTGCTCCCCACCACTCCCTGCCTCTACCTAATTAGACACAGGCACCCCATCAGCTCGGTCATTACACAGGGATGCTCAGTCACTATACAGGGATGCTGGGGAGAGGTCCAAGGGAAATGTAAAGCCCAGCAGCTGATTTCCCCCTCCTGGATCTCCATGCTCTCCTGGGCAGCCATCCCATTCCAAGGCATCATCCCTGTGATGGCCTCGTTAGTCTCCCAGAGACTTTATCTCCCAGAGAAATTATCTATGGGGCACTGACCGTCCCGACCCCTGCAGAGCCTCCAGATCCCAGGGCTCAGCAGGTCTTTTCTCCTCGGAGCCTTTCCCTTTTCCTCTCCCATCTGCTCATCGGCGTGTTGTGCCCTGCGTGTTTCATCCCCTTTTATCCACAGTTTCGGGTTTGATTTATTGACAGCAATCCAGAAAATGCTGCTTCATATCTGACCATTTGAACTTAATTAAGCCTCCAGTCCTGGATTAATTGCATTAAAGTTGGCTGAGCCAGCCTGCCCCGCTCCCACTGAGCTGTGGCTGTGGCAGGGAGCGCTCAGTGGTTCAGGAAAAGCCATCTCATGCCCTGGCCAGGCAGAGCACCCCATCTTTGGAGCTGGACCCCGATTCCAGGAACACTGATGAGCCCTGATGAAGGCTGGGAAGCCACCACGCTTT